ATTAACCTAATATCAAAGTAGATAGATACATTGATATTTTTAGAGCCCATTTAAAACAAACAGTTGATCGGACTTCTACAATAAATTAAGAATTAAAGATTGTCAAATTGTTCTGTTATTGTGGATTCTGTATTTTGATTTTTGAACATTGGCTTCAAAGTTTCTTATCAGTTCCTCCTTTCCTTTTCGCAAATAGTAATTAATTAGTTATGCTATGGATTGGCAACTAATTAAACATGGCCATCACCCTTCTCCTCTCGATGCCTGTCCAGGATAAACCCATTTACAGTATCTCATCGTGGAAAAAGGAAATGTCACCATTACATATCTCTCTGATGGCAAGTTATGCAAGATATCGACGTTGTCTGTTTTATATCATAATATATTTGTCTCTTAAAAATTGTTTCGGTCCTTAAGAGTTCGAGTTTTCATGTAGAGATTTTGAATTTAAATATTTAAATTGACATAAAAAAGTTTGAGAAAGAGGATATTATCACTTACTTTTATTAAATTAATCTATCATCAAATACAAAAAAAATATATATAGAAAAAATACATATTAGTTTTACTTTTAAAAAAATTAAAATTTTAACATTAAATTACGTCATTTTATTTAATTAAAATTTAATTTACAATTAAAATATTTATTTTATTAAATATTGATATTTATATTTAAAAATTATTGAATTTTTAAATTTTAAATTAAAATTTTAATTTTTAAATATAAATTAAGATTCGAATTTTTTTTAGAACCAAGATTGATATGTATTAATATATATATATATATACATATATATATAATGTTATCAACCAGTGTTCACAGTAGCACAACTTATTGTGTAAACTCTTAAAAACTCATCCACTATTCTAATTTCAAGACCCGCCTTACAAAAACATTCCCTACTACATTAAATTACACTGAATGATTAATTGGTTTTTTAATATCTTAAACCATTTTAGGCTTGACCCACATTAAGTCTTATTTTGATGTTTTGTAAGGTTTCCTGATATTGTCACTGAGCAGTTAGTTGACTTCGGCTGTTTCTTTTGCTGGTATATATTCTTGAGTTTTATATTAGCTGAAGTCAATGGATGCTTAGTAATTGTTTATTTTGTACTACGGGTAAGAGTACCCCTAGTATTTTATCAAATAAAATTATTTGATTGTGCAAAAAAAAAAAAAATTTAGGCTTGACCACGATGTATGATGTATTTGATTTCTCTTCCACATGAAGAAATCTATGTTGGGTGACTCGTTATAAATTAATATCCACAATTCTTAAACAAATATATACTATTACAAGCTTTATTCTTTTGTTTAAAATATGCAAGTTACATGGCGAACTTTCTTCCCTTTCATTATCCACCAAATTTACATGTAACTCAAACATTATATATTTTCCTTTTAGTCTTGAAGTTTTTTTAATTCATCAAATAATCATATAATGAGGAATTACTTTTATTTTCCTTTATGTTTTAAGATTTGAACTTAAATTTTTTAATTTGAAAAATTTAACTCTTAATTACATAAAACATTTTTTTAGAACTTAATTTTAATCACATCAAACTACTTAAATTATTATTTTATATCTGATAATAAATTATATAATAACAAATATTTTTTATTTATTTTTAATCCCTCCACACTTGTTACACGTCTCAAATTAATTTGAATGTAATCCAACTTCTCCACTATTATGTTCTCAAGAATACTTTTGGCTGGTAGCTGAGAGACTAAAATTTTAAACATGTGGAGGGTACAATTGTCAATTGGATAAGGGTAGTTTCGGTATAGAAAGATAGTCATAACAGCGTCCAATCCATGCCATCCTCGAAAATAAGTGAAAATAATAAGGATAATAAGGTAATTAGACGCAAACCAGCGGTTCTATCCTCCCTTATAACTGTCTGAAATTCTGAATCCGAGCAGAACACTCGTTTGCAAGTCAGAACAAATATCAAGCTTGGCGGGAAAGGTAGCTCAACGGCCGTTAAAGTCCTACGCTTCCAGCTTCAATGGCGGAACCGCCGCATGGTCCGGCCAGCTTCTGGGCTCAGGCCAACGCTCTCTTCAGAAAGAATTTAACCTTTCAGGTTAGTCAGCTTCCCTCCCCTCTCCGGTCTGGTCTCTCTCTCCATGTATGTGGTTGTGTTTATCATGCCGGAAGATATTTTTGTGCTCTTTTTTTTTTTTCCTGGAAGATAGAAAGTTTAAAATTGAGAAAATAAATAATAAATTTAGAAAATTATGTATGGGGGTAATTATGTATGGGGGTTCACATGCAAACACGTTTCCTATGGTATGGCCAAGTAAGAAGTATACATAACATACATGAAGGAATTCATGAACTCATAGTTTTTTTTGCTAGTAAGGATTGAGGTTGATATATTGATACTTCCTAATGTAATGGGTTTGAGGTATCTTGTACTTCACTAATAAATTATTTTTTACTAACAAAAAAAAAATAGTTTTTTGCAAGCATTTGGGCTAAGTAGTACAAGGTATGTGAAGGACCCATGGGTTTAGTCTTTTGGGTTCAAGGTGTCCGAGGGATATGTATTAGGCCTTATTGGCCTTAATTATCTACATACCCAATGGAGAAGCTGGTGGAATTTTCTTAAATAATCAATCTCATAAATTAGATTTTAAAATACCAAATCATTCAAATCAGTAATA